TGCCCATTGTGCTCCTTCAGCTCATGGATCTTGGTCCACTTGGTCCCATCTTTCTTGTAGATGTGGACTTCATGGTTGTTGGGGCACAGGGCGATCTCTGAAGCACAAAAACAAATTAAAACACACTGTGTATCAGCAGAGAAAGCACATCAGGGAAACATATAAATGGGAAGTTTATCAGTGTGAGGACAGTGAGTGATAAACAGGAGAAGTTAATGGCGGGCTGGTCAGCGAAGTGGAACGCAGAGCAGCTGACCGGGTGCATGAGGACAGAGAAAACTAGAGATACACAGTATGTATCTGCCTGCAGGCCGCACACAGGCACATGGTATCTTTAAATAGACAATGTGCGAGAACTGCGACCTTCCTTCCCATGTAGCAAACCCTGTACATGTTTTAGTCAGCAGATGAGTCAGAAGCAGTGTTTTTCGGAGAGCAGCAGTGTGGGTGATTTAGTGTGCATTTTGCTTTTTTTTGTGAGTGTTGAGCCTGAAAGCTAAGAAAAACTAGTGTTCAGCTTTACAGAGAAGCAGAGAAACTACAACTCTATGACTCAACCACATCTGCCTGTTACATCCGCTTTGCCCAGAAACCAAAGCGCAGATCGAAACAGCCAAATATGGCATTAGTTTCCTGCAGCTAACGGAGCACAAGAGCCTCTCAGAAAGGCCCCCAAACGCCACCCTCACAGCTACAGGAAACAGGAAATACCTTCTCCCACCTGGGAGCCAATCACAAACCTCCGACTATTACACTACTTGTTCTTTGGCGCAGAATCTAGTTGAAGCAAGTAGTCCATGATGTCTGTGATTAAAATGGTGTTTAGAGATGAGACGACTTAAAGTCACTAAAACACAAGCCCTTAGTGACCAATCAGAGAAGGCGAAGAGACTCACGGGTACGATCTTTATTCCAGGCATGACAGCTAATTGGCTCCAGCAGGAAGCTATGGTACGCCATGGCCAATCAGATGTTAGAAACAGACCAGGAAGTGGTGAGAGGAACCAGCGGCTGTTGAACTCTGAGATAACAGTCAAGTCTAGAGAAACAGAAGTTACAAGGAAGAGGCGGAAAAGGACAAAAA